GACAGTTACTTGTAAAACACGGGGACATTTTAGAGGTGGTGGTTATGTAACGTTCTCCCGTTTATGTGATTCATTGTTCATAATTGAAAAATGCTGAGTCTTATGTGTTGCGGCCACCTTCAGGCCTCACACCAGAGTAAAGTGGTTCTGGTGGGTTTGGTTTATTTCCATGCTTGTTTGCTTTTTGTTTACTTTTGCTTTTCGCTTGCCCGTCTGCTTTTAAGCCTTTTCTGCTCTTCAGCATCTCAGTGGATGTATTTATCTCGTAATTTTCACCAGGTCTTTGTTACAGTTTCGTGTGACTTTTCTTCTCCCTCCAGGATCGAGTAATGATAAACCGATTAGACAACATCTGTGAAGCAGTGTTGAAAGGCAAATGGCCGGTAAATAGGCGCCAGATGTTTGATTTCCAGGGCCTCATCCCCGGCTACACGGCCCCCACTGCCGACTGTCCCCTGCAGAAGAGGAGCCTGGCCGAGCTCTCCGTGGTGGGCCAGGCGAGCATCAGCGGCAGCGAGGACCTCACCGCTTCCCCTCAGTTGTCCAAGGTCAGTTAGGGCGCTTTGCTGGTGCCGCTTAAAGATAAGCTCCCTTGACTCAGTTTGGAAGCTCGTGTTCACTGGTCCTACTGAGAACTAAGGAGGCGGCTGTTTCCTCAGCTCCGTTCAGCAGCCTCGGATGTTTAATTCCTTAAGCTCCTCGTTCCTGCTTTCCGCGAGCCGGCCCGTGCAGCAGCTGCGGTTTTGGCTCACTCTTGCGTTGGGGTTTCTCAACAGGAAGACGCCCTCAGCCTCTCCGCCCCTCGCCAGCGGAGGAGAAGGAGGAGGAAGATCGAAATCGAGGCCGAAAGAGCTGCCAAGCGGCGAAACCTCATGGAGATGGTTGCCCAGCTGCGGGAGAATCAGGTGGTCTCGGAAAATGGACACGAGAAAGTTGTCGATTTATCAAAGGCCTCGAGAGAGGCAGCAAGCTCTACCTCAAATGTTTCATCTCTTACTTCAAAGTTTATCTTGCCTAATGTCTCGGCGCCCATGTCTGATGCCTTTAAGACTCAAATGGAGCTGCTCCAGGCAGGCCTGTCCCGCACGCCCGCCAGGCATCTGCTCAACGGCTCCCTCGTGGACGGAGAGCCTCCCATGAAGAGGAGGCGGGGAAGGAGGAAAAACGTGGAGGGCCTCGACCTGCTGTTCATGAGCCACAAACGGACGTCATTGAGTGCAGTAAGTTCAGGGGCTGGCTCCCCCCCCGCCCCCCGCTCCCCCGCCGCGTGCCCGCGCCGGCGGCCCGGGTCCCGGCTCTGCCGCCCACTCCGGGGCGCGCGCCCCTCGGTGACGCGGCGCGAAAGCCGGCCCCTTCCGCTAAAGAAGCAGTCGCGATGGACAGAGTCGTGGTTCTGAGCCGGAAAACTGTGTTGAGCGTTGACGCAGATCACTCGGCCTGAACCATGGGTAGCTTGAGGATTTATTCTTCCCAAGATCCTAATATATTGATCGCTCTCGGAAGACTAGCCCAGAACAAAAACATGTTCTTCTGAGCCTGTAATCGTTAGCTCTGAACCCTCAAGGTGGAAAAAGCTTCTGCTCTTAAAAGTATCCATCTGTTTGGGGCCTGGCGTTTATTAGATTTGTTCAGTTTCAGACTTAAGATTTTTGTTCGCATGCAAAGCTAGTGATCGCAAATTCTCTTGCCTCCAGAAGCAGATATTTTAAAAATCTCAACTGAATTGAGACCTGTGCTAGTTTAGGTTTGCGAGAAGTATGTGTGTCAGTGGATTTTGTCATTTTCTTCTTCAATTCAGAGGAAATGAGTGCAGTGTAATCAAAATAACTCTCTTCCTTAATCCGCTTCAACCACTCACCTAAAAAAGTGCCGCCCAACTAACGATGAGGTTTTACCCCAGAGAACCCGATTACACGACGTCTTTTTAAAGCACTGAAATTGGTACAAGGTACTGTAAGCCTTTGGATTTGAAACCCGAATCAGCACAGAGGTGCTGGAGCTCCTGCCCAAGGAGATGGGATGCCGGCGGCCAGCCCATCGCCTGGGCGGCGGGACGCAGTTTGGGAAACACCGAGGGGAGACGTTTGTTTCAATATGTTTTTCCTTATTTCATTCCTATTACTATTTCCCCATTTTCTATTTCTTGAATTTAGAGGAAACTTAATAAAAGAGTAGGGAAGGCGTGGTCAAGTTAGAGTCTCGAAGTGACAAAATAGCCTTCACTGAAACTTGCCCCCTAGTGGGGTCTGATTGAACCGGAAGCATCCGGGTGGTTAAAAGGTAATTTTCAAAACTCATTACAAATGTACCATTGGTAGTATAATGGTCATTTTTGTTGATCATCTGACTACTTCTAGAATCTTGAAAAATACACCTCACAGTGGATCAGCTGTGATTGTTTTTTCCCTAAGTTAAAACGCCATTTCTAGGTGTGTGGTCCCCAAAGTGGCATCGCCAGCCATTAGCTTCCTGCAGGGAACCACCCTGATGCTTTGATAGGTTTTCTTCACTGAACAAACATCAACAAATCGGGGAGTTTCTGCAGCTCACACACGGCTTCATTTACTGTCTTTCAGTTTGACTCTCACGTTTGTCTGTGGACCCAGCGTCAGGGATTAACAGTCAGCGCGACCAAGTGCTGCTTCCTATTGTAGTTACACACACCCTATGTTAAACTTATGGCTGCTTTTATTCATTCACGTATTTTAAGCTGTCCCTAGGAATTTGTTTTTTTCCCCTGAAGTCATATTTAGCAACCTGGCTCAAAACTCCTAACAGATGTTAAGAGAATGTATTTTAATTTTTTTTTTTTTTTTTTTTAATTTTTAACTTTGGAATTTGGGAATTCCTCATTTGGTATTATAGAGGGTTATGTGCATGCCCGTAAAATACAAGGAGAATGCTGATTGGTCTGTAAATAAATGAGTAGTGAAGAGGTATAGAGGTCGGCAGCGTTACTCGTATGGAACAAGACAGATCCCAAAATCTTGTGTTGTGTTAGCATTCAAACTGGAGACCACTGTGCAGCCGTGAAAAGTAAGTTAACTGTTGGTTTGGGAATTCCTCATTTGGTATTATAGAGGGTTATGTGCATGCCCGTAAAATACAAGGAGAATGCTGATTGGTCTGTAAATAAATGAGTAGTGAAGAGGTATAGAGGTCGGCAGCGTTACTCGTATGGAACAAGACAGATCCCAAAATCTTGTGTTGTGTTAGCATTCAAACTGGAGACCACTGTGCAGCCGTGAAAAGTAAGTAAGTTGTGAGAGCCAACCCCGCCCTGTGCCAGGCACGGGGATGCGAAGAATAAAGGCCCGACGGGTGCTTGCACCAGAGAACTCAGTGTATAAGATGGGTGACAGATAAATAACATATCACTGTTGTGAGAAGTCCCTGGGGTACTTTGAAAACCCAAAGGAAGAATGGGACTGGAGGAGGTGGATGTGGGGAGAAACGGATGGGAAGTTTCCCTGGAGTTGGTCATACCTTGGTGAAATTTTGAAGGTTGTATGGGGGTAAGTCATTTGAAAAGAGGGGGTAGGGAGAGCATGTGCAAAGGGACTGAGGCCAGAGAGAGCCTGTCGTGTCTGGTGAACTGAAAGTTACTGGCCAGGGAATTTGGTGAGGAGGCAGCTTCGGCAGAGATGACCTTGGCGACAAGGTAGGCTGCAAATCACGGAGGGCTGTGATTGCTATGCTAAAGAACTTGGATTTTATCCTGAAGGTGATGCGGGTTCACTTATCAAAATAGCTTAAACAGGGGAGTGATGTAACATGATTTTTGAGCAGAGTGGAGGTTGGATTAAAGAAGGGTGGAACTAGAATCGGGTGGACCGTTTAGGAGTCATGCAGTGATACAGGTGGTCAGTGACGGAGACCTGAACCAAAGCGGGAACAGTAGGGATGGACAGATGGGCCTCACTGAAGATGTCTGCAGGTTGAGGACCAGTGGCTGGGCGATGGTAGAGTCTCAACTCTAACTCAGCTCCAGTTAGCGCTGATCTTTCCGGTGTTGGCACACACGCCTAATATGAGCTATTGTGCTACCGACAAAAGTGTGCTGATCACAGAGTGCCACAAAGCTAGCTATAAACTGGCTTTGGGAACATTCCTTTAATTACAGTTTCTTTAATGATGCTATCCAGGGATCCCCAAAAGAGATTGAGAGGCTACCTTTCATACGTATCGGGCTCAGGCCCCACTGCCTGTGTCACGCTCCTAGCGGCTTGCTTAAGATCTCAAACATGGAGCGGTGATGGACTGTGAATTTTCTACCCCATTACTAATTCTGCAGTGTGAAGAATGATACACGTTCCACCTTCTCATTTAATAGCTGTTCCCAAACTGCCGTTGTTTCGAGTAACTTTTTTCCCTTTATGATCAGAGATCCATTGTGCTAGGCTGGCGTCTCCTCGGGCTAGGATGTTGTCAGGATCTCTCTCCTCACGTGAGAATTCCGACCGTTGTCAACTTTCTGCAGGAGGATGCTGAGGTGACCAAAGCTTTTGAAGAAGATATAGAGACCCCACCTACAAGAAACGTTCCTTCTCCTGGACAGCTGGACCCAGACACGCGGATCCCAGTTATAAATCTCGACGATGGGACTAGGCTGGCGGGGGAAGAAGCTCCTAAAAATAAGGACTTAGTTGAATGGCTGAAGCTGCATCCCGCTTACACTGTTGATACGCCAAGTTACGTACCAGTGAGTATCACGGAGTGTAGGGTTGGGAGGATTCTTGCTCAATCAGTCCATTTCCTTCTCCCATGGTCCCTCTGCCTTTCACTTGACTGTCTCGTCATCTCGGACGTTCCCCAGCTTTTGTCATTGTATATTCTACATTAGAGAAACTAGCTTCAGGTCTGTCGTACGTGAAGGGCCAGCCTTGTAGTTATTTGAAGATGCCTAGTATGCATTTCCTTGCTTTTTTCTTCTCCCACCAAATAGATGTGGTTTTTTTTTTTCTGTTACTCTTCACATGGCGTGGTTTCCAGGGGGGACTCCTTATTGGGAAGACACTCCCCAACGTGCTCTAATTGGTCTCTGGACTGGGTCTGCCCAGCACAGAATATTAGGAAGCTGTTACTGCAGAGATCTGAGCCACTAACACAGCCCAAGACTTTTTAACTTCTTTCTTAAACAGCTAACACTCATGCCGTTTATTAAACATGAGACAGGATCTCCAGATGATTTGTCACTTAAACTGCTTGCTAGCTAGTTGTGCAGATGTTTTACGTCCTATTACTTATGTGATTGAATTTTGGAAAACTTAAGTGTAGGAGTTCACATTTTGTCTTGTTGAGTTCCTGCCACTCAGAATGCACCCTCCTGCAAAGGCTCTTTTATCCCTTGGGTTGTTTCTCCTCATGTACAAGTCGCATGTCGTAGATGTGAGATCACCTCTGTATCCACTCAAGTCTCTGAGTAGAGATCAGCAAAGGTACCAGAGAAAGTTTCCTTTTCAAATACCATGACTTGGTTAAACATTTGAAGAAAAGATTTTAAGCAAGTTATTGAGAGATAAAAGGAAAAGCATGTTCTCCGCTTCTAAGTTTGTTCCTTAAGTAAAGGAAAAAGAGGATAGTCTTCCCTTTCAAAGGAAACTATGGTTTCTAATAATTAAAATGATTCTTGAAACTTCCATAGTAATTGAAAATGGCTTGACTCTTCTGTTTGTCATTTCTATAGGAAAGAATAAGTACTAAGTACAGTTTTACTAAATATGTTTTTTGTTTTTGTTTTTTTTGCAGAAGAATGCAGATGTGCTGTTTTCCTCATTTCAGAAACCGAAACAGAAACGACACAGATGTCGAAACCCTAATAAATTGGATATAAACACTTTGACAGGAGAAGAAAGGGTGCCTGTTGTCAATAAACGAAATGGGAAGAAGGTAAACATTGGGAAAGGGAATTGATCTCTATGTGATTTCTTTTCCCAGAAAGAAGTGTTTTATTCTGACATCTTTTATAGGGGAAAAGAATCATGTTTCTTCCAGAATACTTGTATATTTATATGATCTGTGTATGTATATGTGTAGATATACAGACGGGACGGGGAGAGGGAAGGATTTGTCTGTTTCTAAATCATTTTCCGAACGCCTCTCCCTAGATGGGTGGAGCTATGGCGCCTCCGATGAAGGATCTACCCCGGTGGCTGGAAGAAAACCCCGAGTTTGCAGTTGCCCCAGACTGGACCGATATAGTCAAGCAGTCTGTAAGTACAGACTCTGCCTTTCTGTCCAGAAAGGTATTTGTACAAAACTGTTTTCCTGAATTTTTCTTTATTTTCTGTGGGCCATTAATTATTCAGTGATAACTTATTCTTGGCTTAAAAGAGTTGACATAATGCATCATTTTCATACATCATTAATACATCATCATTCCTTGTATCAATATGTCATTAATCCACCAAGGTGGATTAATTTGACAGCTCTGATTTAAAGGGACTGTATAGAAATACACACTCACAGTCTTAGAGGCAGACTTGCTCCAGGGAGGAAATGCCCCAGGTAAACGTGGCTAATAGCATCTGTGGAATGGAATTTATGGTGGTTGAGATCCTTAAGGTAAACTGTGATTTCTGATTTTAAAATAAACAAATGAAAAAATACAGCAGTTCTGCCTAAGCGTTAATTTCACTGTCTCTTTTTTAAATTAATGTGTTTAAACGTCTTGATTTCTTTTTGTCTGTCTGTTTAAAGCATACAGTAAAAGTGCTTATTTTTCTTTTGGTATACAGTTCTATCAGTCTTCACACATGGATGGTTTCTTGAACGGCCACCATAATCAGAATACAGACAGTTCTGTGACTCGCCCAAATTCCTTTGTATTATTCTCTGTCCCCACGCCTAGCCCACGGCCACCGCTCGCTGATCTGTTCTCCATCCCTAGAGGTTTTGTCTTTTTGAGGATGTCACCTAAACAGAAGCATAAATTACGTCCCCTTTTTGAGACGGCTTCCTTCACTCACCATGTTGAGATTCATCCAAGTGGTTACATGTGTCACAGGTTTCGCTGCTGATCAGGCTCCTGTGTGTGGTTGTACCCCTGGGTGTGGTTACCCATCACCCGTGGAAGGACATCTGGGCTGTTTTCAGACTTTGACAATTATGGGTAGAACTGCTATAAACATTCGTGTACAGGTTTTTGTGTGAACATGAGTTTTTGTTTCTCCAGGGTAGATACTAAAATATAACTTTAATTAAATTTTCCATAGTTTTCCACTTCCTTCTGATGTGCTATTTCTCGAGTTAGCTATGGATGCAGATATCTTGACATTTACCTCACCGATAGAGTAGCCTTTAACATTTTTTTCTGCAATTCAGCATAATTCGGTGAGCTATGTAATGCTAAAAAAGAGAAGTTTTGCTTTCCGAGGTCTGCTCCTTGAGCTTCTAGAATGGAAATAATTGCTTGTGTATTTCCGTGACGAATGTCAGTGTTCAGTCCACCACAGAGGCCCGCGTGGAAATGAGGTTTTCTTCCGAAGCTTTGATAGCCCCTGTTTGCCTCTCCCTTCCTTTCAGGGTTTCGTTCCTGAGTCGATGTTTGACCGTCTTCTCACCGGACCCGTGGTGCGGGGAGAAGGGGCGAGCCGGCGGGGACGGAGGCCCAAAAGTGAAATCGCCCGCGCAGCCGCTGCCGCCGTGGCCTCCACGTCGGGCATCAACCCCCTGCTGGTGAACAGCCTGTTCGCTGGGATGGACCTGACGAGCCTGCAGAGCCTCCAGAACCTCCAGTCTCTGCAGCTGGCCGGCCTCATGGGCTTCCCTCCGGGACTGGCCACGGCCACGGCTGCTGCCGCCGCCGCCGGAGGCGACGCCAAGAACCCGGCCGCCGTGCTGCCCCTGGTGCTGCCGGGCGTGGCCGGCCTGCCCAGCATGTTCGGGCTGGGCGGGCTGCTCAACACCCCGCTGTCCGCCGCCGCCGCCGCCGCCGCCGCCGCCGCCGCCGCCGCTGCCGGCAACACCGCTGCCGCGGCCGGCCCCGCGGAGCCGGAAGACGGCGCGTGCAAAGCGGAGGAGAAGGGCAGCGAGAACGAGGACGAGAACAAGGACTCGGAGAAAAGCACAGACGCCGTTCCGGGCCCAGACTCCGCGAATGGATCTGTTGGTGCTGCTACTGCCCCGGCCGGCCTGCCCTCCAACCCGCTCGCCTTCAACCCCTTCCTCCTGTCCACCATGGCCCCGGGCCTCTTCTACCCGTCCATGTTTCTACCTCCGGGACTGGGGGGATTGACGCTGCCGGGCTTCCCCGCCTTGGCGGGACTGCAGAACGCCGTGGGCTCCGGCGACGACAAGGCTCCCGACAAGGCCGAGGGGGGTGCCTTTCAGGAAGAGGAGACCCTCGAGGGCAGCGACGCCGAGGAGAGCCTGGACAAGACGGCGGAGTCCTCAGTCTTAGAAGACGAGATAGCACAGGGCGAAGAGCTAGACTCACTCGACGGGGGGGACGAAATAGAAAACAATGAAAATGATGGATAACCAGTACCAGTTTCAGTTAAAGTGTTTAAAACTTTTGACAAGTGGTAGTCCTACTGTTTACACTCACAGTTAATGTTCATACCTAGTTTTATAAGCTGTTCTGTAACATAGTGTAGCAAAAGAAAAAAAAAAGTCCCAAGTCATGTTATACAGGTGTGTCAAAAGGTATCTTGGTCATTAAGTATTGTGCAGTGCATTATTTATTATCCCTAGGAGAGATGAAATTTGAGAGATGATCGTGTCTTTTTAAGGAAACTTACATAATGCTCTGCTTTTTTTTTTTTTTTTTTTTTTTCCTTTTCCTTTTCTTTTGGTACCATTGGTATTATAATAAAGAGCAATTTGTAACCAAGTGGCACGAATGGAAGGAAGTGCTGCTCAAAGGAAGTATGAAGTTATATATTTAATTTTTTAATTTTAATTTTTTTGCTGTGAAGGTCAAGATGAAATTTACCATACATATCATCCTCGCTCATTTGTTTCCCTTTTTGACTACACGGGGGTTCCCGCACTTGCGCATCACACACATCCACACACTCTGACAATCTCCACCTTAGTGTGAACGTCTCTGTCCCGAGGCGCAGCAATAATAAGGCAGCTGTTGAATGTGAAGGGTCCCTTTGGAAATTAACCTACTGGGAGGGTTCTTGCCAGACAGAACTGCAGTTCCATTGTCTCGTGGTCTTGTAATGCACTGGTATAAACAAAATAAATAGATGAGTAAATAAAGAGTGAGAGAAGAGAGAATCAGGTACCTTTTTTAAATTAAAGGACTTCGTTACTTTAGCCACAAGCTAAAACAGCATTACCTCAGCTCTAAACTAGCCTTGAAGTTTACAGACATGACTTTGTAAATGTATTGTTTTTCTTTGTTGTGATGTCCTTTTATTTTTTTTCCTTTGAAAACTGCTATCATGTAAGATAAAATGTAAATTGCTGCCAACTGTAGTAATGATGCTTTTAATAAAAGTGACCCATGATATGCAGAGATGTAATTATAGAATGTAGTAGGGTAGGGGAACTGGTTTCACTCTATTTTTTGTATTCGCAATAGATGCAAATACAGCATTCTGGCCTTTGTACAGTTTCTTGATATATCCTCCTATACCAGATTAGCTGTTGGTAACACGCTCAACTGATTGTCTTCCGACTAGACTGGAAGAAAAACCTCACGTTACCTTGACATAATTCCACTCCAGATATCTCAACAGAACCACACGCAGAAACCTCCCATTACTCCCTCAAAAGGTCATCCGAGGCCGAGACTACTTAAAAAATGTGTGCAGCGTCTGATAATGTGGTACACAGAGGAACAAAGGGTCAAAAGAAAAATGAGGCTTTAATAGGCACAATATCTGGGTCATTTATCCTCGGTTAATGGGTAGAAAAACACAATGCCGTGGTGTCAGCAAGGGACGCGAAGGCACTCTGGTGTCCTCAGGACCCGGGCTCGGTGCCAGCGCCACGGAGCCCCACGTGGAACGAGCAGGGGCGTGCTGCAGCTAGCGCAGGCGAGCGCGAGCACGCACACGCGCACGTGCAGGGACGCGCTCGCGCACGTACGCACACGCGCACGTGCAGGTTCGCGCACGCACGGGCAGGGAGACGCTGTTTCGTGCACCCGTTTATGACCTCTGATGTTCGAGGTAAGCTAGGATTTGAGATGCTCTGTTTTCGCTTTGTAATGTCACCTGACCAAAAATAAAGCCCCGTGTCCCTGCAGTTAAAAAGGAGGGGAAGAGAGGGTGAGGGTGGTCTGCGGTGGCTCCCTGCACACCGCCCCCGGGATGCGCCCAGCCCGTCCCCCGCCCGACGTGGCACAAGAGAGGCTGTCCGAGTCCCTTTTAGATAACAAGGTTCCGTGAATTAGCATCGCAAGATGAAAATATACCCATGATGATTCTGGAAAAAGAGCTTCATGAAGCCTCCACCTTAGACGCCCTGTGGTGGCTTCACCTGTCACGTCACCGTGACTCTTCTTTCTTGAAAGTGAGCGCCTGGGTAGTGCGCGGGCAGGAAAGTGCCTTTTGTAAATCAACTATACTTCAATAAAAACAATAATAAAGTTAAAGTTAAAAAGAATTTTTTTTAAAGAATAGCTTCGGGAACAGAATTCTTCAAACGTGGAAAATAAGACTAGACTTCCACAAAGTATAAAGAACTTAAATATTTAAATAACTGAAAGTCTTTTTTAAGCCTTCAAATAGGACCTTAGGTAGGGAGAATATGTTTCATAAGGTGAGTCTTAAAGGGGCTTCTTCTGAAATTCTTTATAGCGTTGGAAGTTTTCCTATGACCTTCTGTAAATAGAGCACACGATGTGACTCTGTCCCTGTTAAAGGAAGATGCTGAGAACAATGACGATCTTCAAAGCAGAGGCATCAATTGCTTGTGGCCAGAAGGACCCCTGACATGATAGGTAGGTCAGCCTCCGGCCCTGAGTCATCTGGGATTTACCTGTGAAGGTGGCTTTGAAGTCATGCAAGGTTCCAAACGCAAAAAATGCGTTTGTTTGTTTTTTTTCCTAATGGAGTTAATTCTCGACGTGAGATCTCGAATTTGCCTAAGTAAGAAATATTTTAAATTCAGTCCGATCCTTCATAACCGGTGTTCGTCACGTGCTTGTATAAATTAAGCACTGAGGTGCTCAGTGCTTTCCATGGCGTTGCTGTTTCACTGTCACTTCTCTTCTGTGAGGGAAGTGCTGCTTTCCAGGAGGAAACAGAGACCTGGAGACTTTAAGTAACTGGCTAGCAGTAAGTACAGGAGCTGGATCTGAACCCAGGCAGTCGAACATTAGAGCTTCCTTACAGCTTCCTGCAGTACTGCACTCTGGTCTCTGAAATAAAATAGTTATTTAGTGATGATTTGAAGTGTCTAGGGCTTTTGTACTTTTGCGTTTCCCCCCCCCCCCCCTTCCCCCCCCCA